TATGATAAAAGAGAAACGAGTTCATGACTAATAACTATGATAAAAGAGAAACGTGTTCATGACTAATAACTATGATAAAAGAGAAACGAGTTCATGACTAATAACTATGATAAAAGAGAAACGTGTTCATGACTAATAACTATGATAAAAGAGAAACGAGTTCATGACTAATAACTATGATAAAAGAGAAACGAGTTCATGACTAATGACTATGATAAATAAGAAACGAGTTCATGACTAATAAATATGATAAAAGAGAAAAGAGTTCATGACCAATTACTACGATAAAATAGAAACGAATTCATGACTAGTAATTATGATAAAAGAGAAAAGAGTTCATGACCAATTACTATGGTAAAAGAGAAGCGAGTTAATGACTAGTAACTATGATAAAAGATTAAAAAATATTCGTATTTGCGTTTATAGTTTCTGAAGTTTCATTGTTCTGATTTTGAGCCGATTTTATGAAATCTGATAGTTTGCAAAAGACTAATTATATAAACAAGAACATGTATAGTACTGCAGGAATAAGTATCAGACCTTTGATACATATATTTTTACTTCAAAAGGGAACTGAGTTTTTGCCACAATCTTCAATCTCTAAATATTTTGCAACCTGACGGCAACTTAAAAATTTCATCCTTAGATTGTTTTCTGTAACACAAATCATAAACTTAGAAATATCAGAGTTCATTTTCTCATTTTCTTTGATTGTCGAAATTTATCTTATGTAAAATTATTGTAATTGTCATTATTATTACAGAATTTAATCATGAGTATATGTTGGAATATCTCTGAAAACATCCTTATTTAAAAACAAGAAATTAAGATATGGGGATCGTTACAAAGGTATTTTCAACGTTATATTTTAAGGATAAGGTTTGACTAAAATCCACTAATGTCTAATATAGACCCGTCACCCTGTAGATCACGAGTATCCAACCAACCGAGACCAAGTTCACGATAATTAAATCAAGGAGACCAAAACTTTAAGTTCAATCTACACAATAATCTACTAAAGCCTTAAATCGTAATGTTTGCTTTAAAAGATATATTATTACCATGTGAACTGGTTCTCACCACGTTAAACTATAGTAAATTTCACGTAGGATTGAAATCTTATTTGTTTAACTTTTCTTCTTGAAGAGCTGTTATATGAACAAAACTATAGCAGCAACGAGGTCCGTAAGGATCGTGTGAGAATGTAAAATTACAATTTTGGTTTTATGAAATATATATATATATATCTGAACGAAATACTTGTTTCTGGTAAATTTGAAAACACAAAACGGTAGTTTTCTTCAGCATTCTTCAACAATTCAAGTTGATTTATTTAACGTTTTGTCTCTAAGTACGGGGAATACATGAAGAAAGTTGACGACAGTATTCGGTTTCTCAGTTGAACCCGGAGTCTCAGGGATAATGTAGAGTGTATTTTTACCCTATTTCAAGCTCTTATACATTTCAAGGATTTTTTTTTGCTTTTAGGAGGCTTCACAAAAATCTACGAGAGCTAAAGGGACTGTAAGGTTAATTTCAAGCGAGTCTCCATGCATCGATTACAATGCCCTATTTACATCAGTACCCTTAAAGCTTTTTCAGTTCAAGTTTTATAATCTAGAAAACTGATTATTTTCAATTGTGGCGTCTCTATAAAAGTCCAAGAAAACATATGGAATTTATTAGATTTGACAAGTTTTCAAGGTAGAAAAACGACAATATCTTCATCATTATTGATCAGACAATGGTTTATTTGTCGGTGACTTGAAATTACGCAGACAGACCGGACCCTTAAATATATGTTTTATACAGTTTGTTTTATTACAATTATGCTAAATTTTGATTCTGACTGGAACCAATCGTATTCCAAACAACCAACCAATACGCGAAATTTTATTTATTTTACAATGTACAAAACGAGAACATGTTCACAATAGAAATAGAAGATGGGCGCGAAGCGCCTTAAAAGCCTAGTTTTCTGTACATAGCGAACTTTTTGATTTTTGAGGAAACTATTGAAAATAAAAATAAAAAAAGGGATTGAAGAAACAATGTCAAGTTACCCTCCAGTTGAAAGGTGTGATGTCCTCTCTAAGCAGCAAGGGGGATTTCCTGTTTTGTTTGTAATACAAACCCGCCAGTCACTTTTGTTGAGAAACTGCAGGACAGAAACTAATAAATTTTCCGAGAGATTAAAGGGAGTGTTCGCGAAAAATGAAAGGGGGTATAAGCTTAATGCGATAAAAAGCGCTTTTGATCGCTACTAATTTTACTATCTGTTGCGTCTATAAGGAGAAAATTTTAAAAAAATTTAGAAATCGTTTTAACGGATTTCGAAAAATGTGAGTGGTGCGCGGCATTCTTAGATAGTTGCGCAAGCGACAAGAGAAATAATCAAATTCAAAACAAATTAATTAAAAATATTATAAAATATAAACTATATACAAATTTGGCGAAAGATAATCGATGACTATAGGTTGTAATATCTGAATGATTTGTTTGAAATTAATATGATTTTTTTACGGTATAAGTCATATGTTGCAATTTTCTGAATTTGTATGGGCGCTAAGTTATTCCGTATGAGACGTCTTTAACAATTTTCTCCTTATAGACGCAACAGATAGAAGTAAGATTAGTAGCGATCAAAAGCGCTTATTTATCGCATTAAGCCTATACCCCTTTCATTTTTCACGAACACTCCCTTTAACCCTATTCCTGTAGTTTTTTTTTGCATAACTCAAAAAGTATTGGTCTGAGGCTGTTGAAATTTTCCGACTTTTCCTATGTACCCAAAGCCCTCCTTTTAGGCCTAACACCCGGCTTTAATACTAACTGCCTGAGTCCTCTACACACTGCCTGAATGACTGCTTTTTCCTGTAACAAACTAAATCTTTGTTTTAACCCACTTCCACTTGTCAGATTTTGATAAAATTTAGCTTTTTGGAAAGCCTTTGACATAAGGAAACGAATTGCACAAGTTATGCGAAAAAAATTGCATTTTTTTGCAAACAACCTGCCAAAGGAAATTTGCACATTTTTAGTTTTTCTTAATTAAAAATCAGGTTATTTAAAATTTTGCAAATTTTTTTGCATATTTAAAATGGTATGGTCAAGGGTTTTTCAAAAATGTATACTTTTTCATTTTTTGGACAAATTTTTTTTTGCCAAACATTTTTACTTTATAACTGGATTTTGCGATAAAAAATTCAATTTTTGAAAATTTGCAAATCTTTTTACAGATTCTAAAAGTAGAGCACAAGAGCTTTCCAATGATGTATAATTTGTCATATTTGGACATCAAACACGGGATTTAGAGGGGGGGGGGGGGTCAAATTGACCCCGCCCACCCGCATTTCCTGGTTTTCAAGTACCCAAGCAGAGAAAGGGTTAAGTAAAGATTCCAAAACTAACAAGTTTGTTTGTTAGTTTTGAAGTGCATCAAGTATAAACGCTTTCACACAAACCGAAATACCAATGTGTAATGTGGTTTCCATAATTTTACATTTTCAGATTTCATTTTCAAAATATAAAATATTCGATCAAAGATGTTAGAATATCACCTATTACTGCTTTGTCTCTGTGTACTAAATGTATCAGCTGACAAAATCCCTAATACCGCAATCCTTGGTACAAATGTACAGCAGAATACAGATCCTTTACCAAGTGTACATGTAGAGAAAGCGTTCGCGGATTTCAGGTAAAGCACTTTCTTAAAGGGACTGTCGACTTAATTTCACAACTGTACCCTTTGAGCAGAATTTAATGTTTCAGGATATCTGGTGAGCAGAATATGTTTCAGGATATCATGTGAGCAAAATATAATATTTCAGGATATCTGGCAAGCAGAATATAATATTTCAGAATATCTGGTGAGCAGAATATCATATTTCAGGATATCTGGTGAGCAGAATATAATATTTAAGGATATCTGGTGAGCAGAATATAATATTTCAGGATATCTGGTGAGCAGAATATTATATTTCAGGATATCTGGTGAGCAGAATACTATATTTCAGGATATCTGGTGAGCAGAATATAATATATCAGGATATCTGGTGAGCAGAATATTATATTTCAAGATATCTGGTGAGCAGAATATTACATTTCAGGATATCTGGTGAGCAGAATATAATATTTCAGGATATCTGGTGAACAGAATATAATATTTCAGGATATCTGGTGAGCAGAATATAATATATCAGGATATCTGGTGAGCAGAATATTATATTTCAAGATATCTGGTGAGCAGAATATTACATTTCAGGATATCTGGTGAGCAGAATATAATATTTCAGGATATCTGGTGAGCAGAATATAATATTTCAGGATATCTGGTGAGCAGAATATATATTTTAGGATATCTGGTGAGCAGAATATAATATTTCAGGATATCTGGTGAGCAGAATATAATGTTTTAGGATGATATCTAGTAAGCAGAAGGTGAGTTCTGATCAGCGGACTGAAGGCTTGGTTCCAATAAATTCAACAGGATTAATTTTTGGAGCAGTTATACTTGCAGCTCTAGGAGGTTAGTACGTATATAGGAACTAACCAAATCCAAAATCAATTAGTAATTACTAAATAAAAAAAGGTTTTCACATGCCAATGGGAAAAGATGAGGTCTAGCCCTAATAGCCCCCCCCCCCTCGATACGCCCCTGTCTTTTTGTTTTATAATTTACTTGCTTTATCGTTATTAGCTTTTAAAAATTAAAATATTTGATATAAGAACTCAATGACGGACTTCAGAACATTATGGATTGGGAATATCCTTGAATCTAAATTTACCCCACTGAAATTTGCGCTGGACTCCTACGCCCAAGTCCAAAAAACGTTAGTCCATTTGATATGACACCAAAATATTAATTCTCCTAATGTCGTCTTCTTTTACTTCAGGACTTTCCTTTGCAGCCTACTCCGCTGTTCAGGTAAAAATGTGAAATATATTATTAGTTTGAGGAGATGCGGATATTTAGACATGGATTAAATGGACTGTCGACGTGATTTTCAGAGACCCCCATTCTTAAAGGGTATGGCCGTTAGCAGTTTCCCTATAAAAGTGACTTGAGATTTCCCTAACACAGAAACAATCCGAAGACTTTTAAGGCTCGAAAAAACTTGAAAAAACGAAAAAACTTGAATTTTATCAGATAATAGTTAAACCGTTGAGAATCGGCCTGGCCCCCATTTAATTGAAGGATCACAGCGACAGTAGTCCCTTTAAATATATTTATTGCTGCTTAAGAGTAGATCAGCTGCGATCAGTAGATCGTACAGACCCAACTCCACCGGCAACTACAAGGGAAGATTAAGGTATAATTCAACTCCTCCAACAAAATTTAAATTTGAAATTTTAAAGTGACCACATGATCGAGATCAAACAAAAGTTCCAAACTCGAAAATTTTTTATTGTTTCCCAATGAACTGGCAAAAAAATAATTAAAATGTACTTTTAATGAACGTTCCTTGAACAAAAAAAGTCGAATCCTCACATCTGTGTCAATTTCTTAGTTTATTTAAACCGGGTACAATTTCACGACCAAAGTTTTAATATAAAAAAATCTTTAGAAGTTTTTCAAATTAAAAGATATTGAAGACGACACTAATTATGAAATGTACAGTTTATTATTAGAATTAGATATAATTAGAAATAGTGAGAACCAGAAAACTGTGGACTGGGAAGACGACATGTAGCCTAAAGTTCTGACTTTAAAAAGTCTAATGGGCATGAGACGCAGCAATTGTACACAGTATAAACAGACCCAAATTGAAAACTTTAGAATTGAATATCCTTAATTCCGATCAGTTAATTAATCTGGAGATTTATAACAAGAAGAGTACAAGCATTATTTAATCTGGGGATTAAGAGAAAGAGTGGATCAAGCATAAATCCCGATATCCACCATTCAAAAGTTCCCAGCTCAAATTAAGTTAACAAGTGCTTTAATAAGTTATTTGTAAAACGGTTTGCTTTTTAACAACATCAAATACACTTAATTATTGACTTAATGTCGTTTTCCCATTCCACGGTTTTCTGGTTCTCTTTGTATTAAAATGTTGTAGACGTTAGGGAGATCTAGGATGGGATTCAACTCTTCTCCGCACTAAACCTTAATATTATTGTAGACGTAAGGTGGATCTAGAATGGGATTCAACAGATTGACTTCAACTCCTCTCCGCACTAAACCTTAATATTATTGTATACGAGAGATGGGTCTAGGATTGGAGAAAACAAATTGACTTCAACTCCTCTCCGCACTAAACCTTATTATTGTGAATGAGAGATGGGGCTAGGATTGGAGAAAACAAATTGACTTCAACTCCTCTCCGCACTTAACCTTAATATTATTGCAGACGTGAGGTAGATCTAGGATGGGATTCAACAGATTGACTTCAACTCCTCTCCGCACTAAACCTTAATATTATTGTAGACGAGAGATGGGTCTATCAAGGATTGGAGAAAACAGATTGGATCCAACTCCTCTCTGCACTAAACCTTAAAACAGATTGAATTCAACTCCTCTCTGCACTTAACCATAATATTATTGTAGACGTGAGGTAGATCTAGGATTGGAGAAAACAGATTGGATCCAACTCCTCTCTGCACTTAACCATAATATTATTATAGACGTGAGGTAGATCTAGGATTGGAGAAAACAGATTGGAATCAACTCCTCTCTGCACTTAACCATAATATTATTGTAGACGTGAGGTAGATCTAGGATTGGAGAAAACAGATTGGATCCAACTCCTCTCCGCACTTAACCATAATATTATTGTAGACGTGAGGTAGATCTAGGATTGGAGAAAACAGATTGGATCCAACTCCTCTCTGCAGTTAACCATAATATTATTGTAGACGTGAGGTAGATCTAGGATTGGAGCAAACAGATTGGATCCAACTCCTCTCCGCACTTAACCATAATATTATTATAGACGTGAGGTAGATCTAGGATTGGAGTAAACAGATTGGAATCAACTCCTCTCTGCACTTAACCATAATATTATTGTAGACGTGAGGTAGATCTAGGATTGGAGAAAACAGATTGGATCCAACTCCTCTCTGCACTTGACCTTAATATTGAGAAAATCAATGGTAAACTTAACATTGATTATTATCATACAGTCGTTGTCGTATATATCAATACAATGAAGACGACTTTAAATTTAAATTTTGATTTCAACCAATCTTTCAAACTGCAGAGAAACACATAAACAAGTAAACAAAGAGCAGTTGTCAATTACCAGCTTCTCTTTGTTCAATTGTAAACTTGTAATTTGAAAATTGTTAGGGATCAAAGCATAATTTATAAAATGTTGTCTTCGTTGTATTGATTAAATCGCCGACCACTGTAACATCATGTTATAACAAGATTAAATTAACGCTTTATGAATTTTTTCCCAGAAGGTCTCATTTCAAGAGCGTGTGCTAAGGCCTTAATATGCCAAGTTGAGGATCTTTGGATGCTTGGAGTAAATCCAGGTTAAAATTTAAAATATGTCCCAATAGATTCGGTGACCACGGAAAAATCTCCATTGAATCTAATAATGATCTCAAAACAGTGAACACCATATTTCACTAATTATGGGATTTCCAAAAGTATGTCTACCTTTTTTGATCCGAGATAAACAGAACTTTATGCATTTAGAAGGTATATTTCAAGAGAACGATTATTGGACCTCCCCCGAGCCCCCCCCCCCTCCTATCAATTTTGTACATGGATCTTAAATGACATGAATCTTAAATGTAAGACATGTGGCCGCAGCGCTCGGCCCCCCAGCCTGTCCTAGCCGCAGCGCTCGGCCCAGAAAATGTCTTAACCTAACCTAACCCTAAATAATGCTAAATAAAAACTAATTAGGTCATGTACAAAATTGATAGGAGGGGGGGGGGGGGTCGGGGGTCCAAAAATCGTTCACTAGGACAGACCCCATTTAGAATTAGGACTCAGAAACTTGAGTAAAGGCGCGCCAAAAACCTATCGTTTTTGTCTACTTAGTTGAAAACTATGAGTTGCAACGGTTTACTAATAAAAAAAGGAAAAGAACCGTTTTAAAAAATTTAATTTAAAAATGGGGAGACATAAATTATGTTTGTTAAAATAAATAAAGAACTCACATTTCTTAACCTTATTCCTATATTATAAAGGGTGTCCCACATCATTTTCGATTAAAAAATGATGTAAATACGCTAACCAAGATCTTTAGAAATATCTATCTATATTGTTACTAGGTATATGAATGAATATTTCCAAAAAAGATTGTAATAGCCTCTAAGTCAAACCTTGCTAACCCTGAAATTCGAGTTATTTATTTAATCCAATATGATGTGAACACCAAGTATCTTATTACAGAATTGAGAGACACGGTTCCTAAGTTTGGGTTGAAATTGAGGTCAAATCTTCAGGTGATTATTTTTAAACAATTCAGAATTCAATAAAGGTGTGACCAGACATTATTAATTTATTTATAATTTCAGACATTTTGTGAGACAGAAGAATGGTCTCTCAACTCATGTTCTTTAACTAAACCCTAGTATAATATATATTGAAAAATATTTTTGATTTCTTATAATAAATCTTTTACCATAACACATTAAACGTTTCCATATAGTAACAGAGAAATCTTGCATAAAATTTATTTAAAAATAACAATTAAAATTAAATGCTTATCTCTCTGGATAATTTTTAAATAAATTCAAACATTACTTAAACGTGTGTACAAGATGTATAATATGAAGGTTACCAGTTTAACAATCACTAATCTTGAGAATTCGCGCTGAAAATTTGTGTTCACTATTAGGTACATGTGTTACGCATATTCGTGCGTTTCAAGATGAGATTTAAAGGAAAATTTTCCAAAACCTATTGCGCTGAAACCCATGAAACTACTTGAGAAAAATATGAAGAGCGCTAACTTTCAAAATTAATTGAGAATTTTACTGAATGCATTGTTTGTGAATATCTAACAAAATTAATAATATACTTATCTTACTGTTACACAAAACCAAACTATGAATAAAATAAGAAATTGTGTGCGTATTGAACCAATATTTGAAACTGTTTGACTTATAAGGTGTTGAGGAATTCTTATTAAATCAACATATCTTTTACAAGGCCTAGGGGGGTATATGGTGATGACAAATAAACCTGAACTTCAGAAGTTTCACTGAAAATCTTTTGTAAAAACTCACAAAAGAAAGTGTTGCCCCTAAATGAAAATTATTTCAACACAATGTTTCTAATATCAATTAGGTATTCATCGTCTCTAATATTTATGAAAAAATTGTCTTAAAAAAATATGTAGAATAACAAAGTTGAGTTTTAAAAAGCACAATTACAGGTTGCATGTTGGAAATGAAAAGAGATTCTAGACTGCAAGAAATGTTGCCAAAACGTATTGATATGGAAAAATCGGGAACAAAAAAATGTCGCTGAAAAAAAAATTTGCAGCGAAAAAAAACAAATGATTATATTTCTGTTCAAAATACTTTGCAGTTAGCATATAGTGAACCCTGATCAAATAAAAGAAATCACAAAATTGTTGTGTTGCAGACCTACTATTACGCAATAAGTACAATTGGCATTTATCAAATTAATAAACTTTAACAAATTGAACTGTTTTCGTATATTATCCAGTTAAGTATCAAACAGGGATAACAACTTTTTAACTTGGCGCACAGAAAGATTAACCACTCTCATTGGCTAAAATCTCTATGGACGCTAATCTGTCCTCCGAGAAGTTAAGCTCATTCGGCACATTTAAAAGTTACCAGTTCAGAATCGAATTTGTTTTGCGTAATTTAAGGAGATGTCTATTTTTCTACGCCTATTAGAAAAAATTTAAAATTTAAATTAAAGTATTCTCACAAAATATCTTGATTTTATATTTTCCTTGCGCATTCTATCCTCGAAAACCACAGATTGCCAATGAAGTATGAAATTATAAATGTAAGGCGATGTACAAAATTAACCTATTAAGAAAAGTAAATAGACCAGTAGATAATTAGCTTCTTAATTTTAGGATTAAAAAAAAATATACAATAGAATTGGTCCGATAAACAAGGGTTAAAAATCTAATAAAAGTTCAGAACAGGACGGATTTTCAAACATCTTATCAGATATCAGTTGTTTCCATGTTTCAAGTATCAAAAGCTAGTCTAAGTGCTCAAACCAATGAAAGACGCTGATTTGATTACATACTATCACATTTTCCAGGTTTCCAGGGCTGAAAACGTAATTCTTTTTCCTAAGTGCAATTATTATAATTTAATATGTCTGGAAAGTAAGAATAGTTGGGACTATTTACAAAATTTAAAAATAAAAACCAAGAACTATTTGAAATATTAAACATACGTATGAAGTAAATTTGTGGAGTTGCATACAATTGAAACAGTGCAACACAATAAGGAAGAAAAAAATTGCCTGTCAAAAATCTATAATGAGAAAATGGATTAGGAATGATTGCTTAAATTTTAAAGTAAGTTCTGGTCAATGATGCATATAAATATTTTTTATAAAAATAAATAAAAAATAAGAAACCGTTCTTGGCTTTTTCAACTTATTGAAAAATAATCTTCATATTTTATGAAGAAATAAATTTTTATTGGAAAAATGTCGGAAATGCGTTTCAGTCTGGGTTTCCATCTTTACCAATAAATAAATATTATTCTCAACATTGACTGTTATGGACGTAATTGAAAGTCAGCCTCTAGTCGAATAGTGGCATGTCCAATTTACAACGGTACCCTACACACCTTTGTCTGATCATCAACGACAGAGATATCCTTTATTTCTAGCTGAAAGTTAACTGAAGGGTAACTCCAGTGTACAGTGTAAACTCCGTGGAAAGGATACCACATGGTTTTCGAAAGCACTTAATTTTCGGATACAAAAATAAGGAAATCTTAGTTAATTCAGACAAAGTTTAAAGGGAGTGACCGGCTATGTAAGGTAGTTGAACTGAGTATGCAGTGTTGTGGAAAACTTATTTCGGATTCATTTGAGACATATTAAACTTTTTAAAGATTTGTAAATCCTGAGTGTGAGCGCAAATTCCACGTTCAAAATTCCTACTTTGGGGGTGGATGCGTTTTCAGAATTAGTTCTTTTTTTTAATTATTAAATAACGACAACGAAAAATAAAGTAAAAATTACACAGTAATCTAATTAGATGGTTAGGAACATATTTCTCAAAAGAAATTTGTCAATAAATCAATGCTAAAATAGATAATTTGGTTTTTATTATTATATTGAATTTCTTATTTTCTTTGAACTTATTCGCAGATTTCTTCAAATTCTTCAAATGTCGTCATTTCAATTATAATTTTAGAAATCCTGCAGAAAATCTTTGTGAATAATGATAAACCAGAATAATGAGAAAATAGAAACTAATAATAAAACAAGATTACTTATTTTAGATGATAAGATTAATTTTTATTTTCTCAACCTGTTCCTATACATGACGTCTGTAGTTTATTGTAGAACTTTTTTACATTTTATGTCGTTATTTAATAATTTAAAAAACCTAATTCTGGAAACGTATCCACCCCCAAAGTAGGAGTTTTGAACGTCGAACTTGCGCTCAAACTCAGGACTTACAGATCTTTAAAAAGTTTAATAGGTCTCAAATGATCTGAAAGAAGTTTTCCACAACACTGAATACTCAGTTTAACTACCTTACATAGTCGGTCACTCCCTTTAAAAGGTACCGCTGTGCATCGGACAGGCCACATTAAAATTAAAAATCTCTTGAAAAAAAAGCTGTAGTCCCTTTTCAAATACAAATTCCTAGATCCGGATGAACCTTCTAGAATACGAATCCGGAATAAAACAATAAAAAATCCAGACTGATCTGACACAGAATTAGTCTGTTTGCAGGATGCTGTGTAATTTATATAAAAAATTGCTTTTACCAAAATGTGTCAATTTTCAGAGTAAAAGAATCGTGTTTGTAAGGCTTCAAGTTTTGTGTTCAACAGTAAACCTGTAAATATACCCGTAACCCCAGAATATCCAGTATTACAAAATAACCAATCAAAAATACGTTCTCTCCATAAAAAAGTTAGTTTTGGACATCCCAGAAACGAGTTTTCGGCTAAACCTAAGTTACAAACAAGCTAGAAATCGTGATATCTTCTTCCTAACAGTTTTAAATTTTTAAAAAATGTGTGTACTTAGGTCTGAATTATAAAATATCACTGCGGAACAGCTGATAATTACATCAGCTGATGAAATCAGCTGATAATAAAGAGTTTCCTGATGATAAGATGAGCTCTGTTGATGATTATTGGAAGGAAATGGGTTCCAGGTGCACTGTGCAAGATTCCCCGTTGTCGTCGTATACGATATGAAGATGAAAGGCTGAGTCAGGATTCTGATATCGGAGATACTCGTCCGTCATTCGAACCAGTATCTTGTTGGGTCCGCTCATCACGATTTTAGCAAGGAATGACTCGGGTATCTGAACATAATTATCCTATATTAAGAGTAAATAGCTGAGTTAAATTTTAACTAGCAACTACCTCGTATGAATAAGTATTGATAAGCAATGAGTTGATAAGAAATACCTCGAATGTGTGGGCCATGAGTTTGATAAGTTCAAGTACAGTAACATCTTCAAGCAGGAAAGGATGAAACACTGAATCCCCCTTCTAGAAATATTCAACCAATTAGTTCTTTGTCTCATCTTGTAGAAAATTGTATATATTATTATAATTAAGAAGTTCCAGGTCGGTATTATTACCACTTACAAGTGTTTCACCATTTAAAATTTTTAAGTTTTGATTGCATTGGATTCGATTAGGTATATCATAAAACTGTAAATGCCAATCAAATAACAAATGGTTACCTTGAATAAAAAAAATAAAAAAAATTAAAGGCGGAATAAATTACTTTTGACACAACTCATTCAGTTAAATCTAAAAATGGATAATTATAAGTTATAATGGATAGTTAACTACAAAAATTAAAAGGGTTCTGTAGATTAATTTTACCTGAGCTATATATATTGTAAGTCGAGGAGCAACAGGTTTCATGTGGAGATCATTGAACAATCTTACACCATCCATTAGACCAATCATCTATACAAGAATTATTCATTGAACAATATCATCTATTAAACCAACCATCTATAAAAGACTTATACATTGAAAAATCTATCCCCATCCATTAAACCAACCATCTATACAAGAATTATACATTGAAAAATCTATCCCCATCCATTAAACCCAACCATCTATACAAGAATTAATCATTAAACAATCTTACACCATCCATTAAACCAATCATCTATAAAAGAATTATACATTTAACAATCTTACATCATCCATTAAACCAATCATCTATACAAGAATTATTCATTGAACAATCTTACACCATCCATTAACCCAATCATCTATAAAAGAATTATACATTGAACAATCTTACACCATCATTTAACCAACCATCTGTAATGAAATATGCTACCATGATCAATACAATCTTTATTATCTATATTTCGTTATCTATTTTATCTATGTTCATGTTGACCGTGACCGGCCATTCCGGTCAGTTCTATTTACCTGTATTAATAAATTTTTTTTAAATCTAAATATTTATTTTGTAGCAGAGATTAAAATATTACAATTGTATTACAAGTTTACAACTTTCATAAATGGAAAAACTACATTATTTATTTTCTATATAAATGATTCATATGATAGACACAGATTAGACTTTGAATGCCAGTGCAATATTTCAGGGTAGTCTCACTTCCTTCAGAGTTGACATCACACCTCTGTTTCTTCTCCTTCTCCGGTTGACGGGTCGAGAAACTCTAGAAAATGAGAAAAATTCTTCTCCATCATTAGTCCACAGGTTAAGCTTGATATCCATTCCTAGATCCACTCCTTCCCTATACAACTCCAAGAGTTTATGTGTAATTCTCATTGTTTGTGTTTTAAACTCCCCGCCATAGCAACAGCTGGGTCAGCTGGTATCAGGCTAGGAGAGAGAGAGTCACAGAGATGTGTGGTTGCTAGCAGGGTTAGGGGGAGACTGATCAGGGTTAGGGGGAGACTGTATTAATAAATTAGTAATGTATGAATCGTTGATTTAGACGGACGTGAATAGAGCCTTGAGTTTTGGCTAGAGATATAGAGCCTTGAGTTTTGGCTAGAGATAGAGTCAGCTCAAAGCCGGCGAAACATATCCATGGGCTGACCGAACCGTGTCACCCTAGAGAGAAGACTTGCACTAGGCGATCCACCCAAGACAGCTCCATTTTTGGAGACTCTATAAACCAGGCGGTCTGCCCAAGACAGCTCCATTTATGGAGACTCTCTAAAAACCAGGCGTTCTGCCCAAGACAGCTCCATTTACGGAGACTCTAAAAACCAGGCGGTCCGCCCAAGACAGCTCCATTTATGGAGACTCTCTATAAACCAGGCGTTATCCCCAAAACAGCTCCGTTTATGGAGACTGTCTGAAAGCCAGGCGGACCGCCCATGACAGCTCCAACAATCTTACACCATCCATTAAACCAACCATCTATACAAGAATAATCATTAAACAATCTATCACCATCTATTAAACCAACCATCTTTACAAGAATTGATCATTAAACAATCTATCACCATCTATTAAACCAATCATCTATACAAGAATTATACATTTAACAATCTTACACCATCCATTAAACCAACCATCTATACAAGAATTGATCATTAAACAATCTATCACCATCTATTAAACCAACCATCTATACAAAACTATCCAAAAGCATCCATTGAACACATCATTTACACCCTGTACCACAAAATTATGGAAAATGAAAAGTTTATTTTAGCTTGTAAAATAATGTTTAAAATGAGGTCTTTTATAAAGCTTATGTGAAATATTTTCAAAAAGAAAAAATTTAAGAAAAAATATTTTCGAGGAATTCATATGCAAGAAACAAGCTTTTTTGAGAATTTTCTGTGCTACTAAAATAAGCAAGTCATCTTTGACCTCTCAATTGGCATACTATGGAGGCCTACTGTGACCTCCAAGACAAACCAAAGTCCTAGGAAAAGATTGGCTCTCTTTTTTTTCTAATGAATCTCTTTTGTTCTTTTATCATTATTAATTATTCTTTCAAAATTGCAGATTTATATTTAATACAATACCTGAACCAGATCGTCTTTACTAAGTCTAAGAATATCTCTGGAGTCATAATTTTGGAATGTTTTCACATGGATCTCATACCTACAAGTAGATAAAAAATCTAAGAAATATTTAAATAAAAATGTTCAATGTGTTCAATTCACCTAGCAAAGGAAGAAAATTAAGAATGATATTATCATTTTTATTAAAGGACAACCCATCATTCAAAGAAATAGGGGTCGGCGCTCCTAGCCGCCGAAACGTATCCATGGTCTGACCGGATAATCCTAAAAATTGTGTCACGAAAGAGCAAGAACCAGTAAAAGGTGGTCTTGAAAGTGATCTTTGATGGAAGCTAATCTTTCTCTTTAAAAGTCAAACAACTAAACTAAGAATTTTCAAATTAACACAAGTACATTATAACGTTGAAGCAAACCGGCCAAGGGGTACCTGAGTTATGAACACAAAAATAGGCAAGCAAACAGAGATTACTACTTTAGATATATATATATATATATCTATAGATGTTTCTTTTTGTTACCTATTGAATGAAAGCCAACCAGCGGTAGTTTCCGCAGATGCATTGTTAGGTAGGATAACCTTCCAGGATTTAGAGTCAGCTCCAGCAGTAGATCCAACCTTGTGCGAGGAGATCCAGGATGGGACGGGGAGGAAAGGTTCCTCTCTGCTGGTGTTTGGAGGAACGGAAGAGGATTTCAAGGATGGAGCAGATTTTACAATCACACTTCCTTCACCATCAGACTAAACAATAACAAGGTGAGCCTCCGCTATGCAGACACGAGCCTCCCAGAGTTGCTAGGCAGACCAAGCCTCCGCTTTGCAGAAATGAGCATGCGCAATACATCAAAATGTGCCTGTGTAATACAGGAGATTTTTTTAAACTTGCGTTTTAAGTTTAAATAAAAGATTTTTTTGAAATTTTTAGACATAGTGGCATGAGAGGCTTCTCAAAGATGAGAAGTATTTATATAATTATCATAAATAGTGCCTAATTATGACTAATAAAGTGGTATCTAAAACTTTAAACATTTTTTACACGAAAAGGAAAATATTTAGAAAAAAATCTGAATTTCATTTCATCTTTTATAATCTTTGATTTTTAGCAATACCTTTTTTACCTTTTTTGAAGTTCAAATTAAATCTAAAAATTTGTATTTATTATTTAAATCTTAAATTTTTTTTAAAAAAAGGTATTGTTTAAATTAAAGATTACAACAAAACAAATCTAGTTTACTCCAGAAATATTTCTCCAAATATCTTTCTTTCTGCGTAAGAAATGTTCAAAGTTTTAATATAAATCTTATAAACCACTTAATGAGTCCATATATGTTTCTAATCATGACACTCAATAAACAATTCTAATCTTTATTAAAATTCTTATGCCACTTCTTCAAAAAAAATTGTTAAAAGTTTTCATCACTCATAAAAACTCAATTATATGTTGGATACCCATTATCTCAATTATATGTTGGATACCCATTATCTCAATTATATGTTGGATACCCATTATCTCAATTATATGTTCGATCCCCATTATCTCAATTGCTTTATCATTCTCTATATATTCACAGTGGGCCCTTTTAAATTGTTCGCAGATATCTGATCGGAACTTCACGGGATATCAAATAAAGATTAAATTAATCTGCAGATGAACAAAAGATTGATCTCGGTTTCCAAAATACAAAATTTCCCCCCTCAGATGAAATTACTTAATCATTCGGTCCTTGTTTTGGTCTTTTTCAGGGATTAACAACCTCTAGTTTGAAGAGCAATGCTGTATTAATCCTAATTTTTACCTGTACAGGTGATATACCCCGACTGGGTGGAATATATATACTGTCCACGCTAAGGTCGGTTAAAACAGTACACTCGTACTGCGGGGAAAACTTCTCCTGTTCCGTTATACTTCTCTTCTGAACCTTCTCCCGATCCTGTTTATGCTTCCGGTCAGCTCCTGAACAAACCAACATATCAGCAAGCTATAGAGCAAATTTAAACATTCTGTAAAATTAATTTTTTCGATTTGAAATTGATAATTTTTAACTTCTTTGAATCGACATTTGTGGGGTGGGGTGGCTAGGTGGCTAGTGTGTGACACCAGTTCTCGTTTGATCACTAAGTTAAGCACACTTGTCCGCAGCCAGTAATTGGATTTGTATCCAGATTGGTGTTTACGGGTTCGATTTCCGCATTCCTCACAAACCTGTGATTTCAAAATCATTTGAAGCCAAAATCTGAACGGACGTAGAAGGACAGAGGGGCGGCTGTCAACATCTCTCGCAGCAAAGGGTGCGTGCTTTCCACTCAACAACAAAGAAGCTTGAAATTCATTGATCCAAATAAATGATGAGGAAGAGAGGAAAGGTTGACAAGCAGGGAAAGTCTATGGTTGCCAGCTATGGGTCCTTGGAGGTATCCAATCCGGACTTACAAATGATTGGTTGCAATGAGTGTTATGTTTCCTATCTGTAAGGCACCTGGGCATCATTCCAGTATATCAGAAGAATTCCTGCACTCTACTATTCTCAGGCATAAGAAGCAGCTGGAATCTCGTCAGCCCTCTACTCAGAATAAATAAAGCGTGGACGGATGAATGTGCTGCTAGATAACAACCCCTGGCAGATCAATACAAAACCCCTACAACACCAAATTTGCGCAAAAGAAAAATTCCGAAATTCGATCGTAACAACCCCATCATGTCCTGGGGACAAAAAAACTTTCGCAATAGAAAAATTCCAAAATTTGATCGAAACAACCCGATCATGTCCTGAGGACAAAAAACCTCTGATCAAAATGAATTCGAAATTGGCTTTTCAGGATTATGAGCTGCAATTATTTTTTCTTCTTCATTAATATCCAATACCCATTATCCATGTTTGGATTTGTAAAATTAGATATGACAAAATAAAAAAGCTCACAATGACGCCATTTTTGCACTTTTAGATGCACGCAACTGTCCCCTCTGTTCAACTCAACTTTTAGTTGTCAAATTACTCGAGATTCAAATATAAAATTTGGAAAAATTTCTATCTATAAATTTCCAAAATCATTTTCAATTTGATCTTGATGTACACTGTACACTGTACAGTGAACATTCTATGACGACCTTATCTATTTCACATTGAGGCTAAACACGTTGAAGACGTTAAAGTTTGTGCTCAGAGGTAAAATTAATTCTATGCTAAAGAGGGGGTCAACCCGAGTTCAAAATGTAAGAAATCAAAATCCGGGACCGAGGGAATCCTGAAAAAATACACATTTAAGATTTGGAGAAATTCAGGTTTCAGTCCTGATTTCACAGATGATTAAAATTTCAATATATTCTCGCATGACTATTTTGGGACACATGTGGAAGTACGACCCTTATTATTTTTGCCGTGTTCTGCGCTACGCTTACAAAATTTAGATTACAAGAAGAAAAAATCAATTGATACACACGTTCTTTGTATTTTAAAATGAATGAGGAAACAAATTAATTATTAAAATATTTTTCTTTTTTAGAAATTTTAATAATAATCTCTGAAGTGTCTGAGGTTATATGAGTAGACATTGTTCAAGAGTTTCTCCAGATATACAGGATGATGTATCCGGCCCAACCTTCCAGAGAATGCCAGAACTTGTTAAAATCTTGATGAGATGACTTTAGATCCATGGTTTAGATGATGAATTTCAAGGTTTAGATGATAAATATCTAGGTTTAGATGCTTAACTCCATGGTTCAGGTGACAAACTACATGGTTTGAATGCAAAACTCCATGGTTTAAACACCAAACTTTAGATGCAAAACTTCGTGGTCTAAATGAAAAATGCTTTGGTTTAAATGAAAACACCATGGTCTAGATGAAAAAATCCATGGTATAAATTTAACAAAAAAAACATGGCTCAATCGAAAAACTCTTCGGTTTAAATAAAAAATTCTATGGTTTGAAAAAAAAAATCCGTGGTTTAAATAAAAAAGCCATGATTCAGATGATAAACTCTAAGGTTCTGGTGACCAACTCTGAGGTATATCTACAAAACTCCAAGGTTTAAATAATAAACCCAACAATTCAGATGATGATAAAGCGATAAAGTCAATGGTTTTAATGATTAACTCTACTGTTTAGATCATAAACTCCATAGTTCAGGTGGTAAACTCCATGGTTCAGGGCATTAACTACCATGGTTTTAATGAAAATTGCATTGCTTTAGTGATAAACTCCAAGGTGCAGATGATAAACTCCATTATTCAGGGGATGAAATTCATAGTTCTGTGTACGAATTTAATAAATTTAAGCCACGTCTCAAATTCCCAAAAAACCGGTTTCAATTGAGCAACAGCTTAAATCTTGAAAAATTGAATACAATTTTAAGCGGAACCAACCATATTTGAGCCACGGAACAAATTCTTTATATTCGGCCCACGTGATATCCATCCATCTTTGGGATTCTTTGAATGTTTTTGAACATGCCACCTGAATCATGGAGTCAATCATGTAAACCTAGAAGTTTATCATCTGAACCTAGAAGTTTATCATCTGAACCAAGAAGTTTATCATCTGATCCTAGAAGGTTTATAATCTGATCCTAGAAGGTTTATCATCTGAACCTAGAAGAAGTTTATCATCTGAACCTAGAAGTTTATCATCTGAACCTAGAAGTTTATCATCTGAACCTAGAAGTTTATCATCTGAACCAAGAAGTTTATCATCTGAACCTAGAAGTTTATCATCTGAACCTAGATGTTTATCATCTGAACCTATAAGTTTATCATCTGAACCTAGATGTTTATCATCTGAACCTAGAAGTTTATCATCTGAACCTAGAAGTTTATAATCTGATCCTAGAAGTTTATCACCTGAGCCTAGAAGTTTATCATCTGAACCTAGAAGTTTATCATCTGATCCTAGAAGTTTATCATCTGAACCAAGAAGTTTATCATGTGAACCTAGAAGTTTCTCATCTGAACCTGGAAGTTTATCATCTGATCCTGGAAGTTTATCACCTGAGCCTATAAGTTATCATCCGAACCTATATGTGTATCATCTTTACCTCCTGCTGTTTATCATCTAACCCTGGAAAATTATCACCTAAACCATAGATCTAGAGTCATCTCATCAAAATTTTAACGTGTTCTGGCATTCTCTGGAAGGTTGGGCCGGATAAATCTTCCTGAGGCCAAATTTAAAGAATTTGAGCCGCGGCTTAAATTTGGGACGCGGCTTAAATATGGTTTGATATTTGGAGAAACAAGAGATTATGGTCTGATCATATAACATCAGGCACTTCTGGGTTATTACTGTTAAAAATTCTGCATTTAAAAAGAGATACAAATTTAATTTGTTTCCATCATTTGTTTCATTAAATACAGGGTATTGTGTGCAGAATTTTTTTTTCTCATTGTAATCTGAAATGTTGATAGCTTAGAGCAGAAGCTGCCATTCAGAGAAAAAATATCATATTTTATGACACCCCCAAATACGATACGTAAACAAACCTCAATTTCTCCAAATCTTTAAAGATTTTTTCAGGATTCCCTCGGAACCGGATTTACTTAGGGTTGACTCCCTCTTTAGCGTAGAATTAATGTAATCTCTGAGCACAAACTTTATGTGTTGCAAGAATTAAGCCTCATTGTGATTTATTACCTGGATCCAGATTTGTACAAACGTATCCGGTTCTACGAAGCTTAAAATTGTGGATTAAGTATTGAAGGTTGAACACAACACACTATCCTACCTTTAAGTTTAAAAACCTGAAGGATACAAGCTGCAGCATGAATCCTGGATTCACTGGACCAAGTCTCAACCTTAAATATTACACATTACACAATCACATCTTCATTTTTATAATATTTTTCAATACAAAATCATATCTCGTTTAAATAATATTTGTCAATACAATCACATCTTGTTTAAATAATATTTGTCAATACACAATCACATCTTTATTTTAATAATATTTTTCAATACACAATCACATCTTCATTAAATAATATTTGTCAATACACAATCACATCTTGTTTAAATAATATTTGTCAATACACACTCACATCTTTATTTTAATAATATTTTTCAATATACAATCACATCTAATATCTTTAAAATATTCTCCAATACACAATCACATCTTCATTTTAATAAACTTATTCAATACACAATCACATCTTCATTTTAATAATATTATTCAATACACAATCACATCTCCATTGTAATAATATTTTTCAATACACAATCACGTCTTGTTTAAATAATATTTGTCAATACACAATCACATCTTTATTTTAATAATATTTGTCAAAACACAATCACATCTTTATTTTAATAATATTTGTCAATACACAATCACATCTTCATTTTAATAATATTTTTTAATACACAATCACATCTTCATTTATTCAATACACAATCACATCTTCATTTTAATAATATTTGTCAATACACACTCATTTTTAAAATATTTGTCAATACACACTCATTTTACAATATTTGTCAATACACACTCATTTCTACAATATTTGTCAATAACACAATCACATCTTTTTTCTCAACTTCAACATTAGATAAGATAAAGGGAATAAAAAGTTAAAAATACGAAATAAAAATATTCTAACTCAAGAGCCTATGACTCAAAGATTCAAGGAGAAAAGATATGTAAAAAGATTACAGGTTAATACTAACTAAATATAAAATTTAAAATTTTAGAACTGAATTCCATGTATATAGCGTCCATATTGCAATGATATATTTTTCTGGGCAAGGCTCACGGCTAGTAAAAGTAATTCTTTTCTGCTTTGCAGCCCCCCCCCCTTTGGGTTAAAAAGTTTTTGGTAATAATACAAAGGTTCAATATATATATTTTTCACAGTTAAGTAAAAATCTAACATGGGAATGTAAGTAACAGCCAAGTATAAATCTAACGTGGGAATGTAAGTAACAACGAAGTATAAATCTAACGTGGGAATGTAAGGAACAGTAAAGTATAAATCTAACATGGGAATGTAAGTAACAGCGAAGTATAAATCTAACGTGGGAATGTAAGTAACAGCGAAGTATAAATCTAACGTGGGAATGTAAGTAACAGCAAAGTATAAATATAACATGGGAATGTAAGTAAAAGTCAAGTATAAATCTAACATGGGAATGTAAGTAAAAGTAAAGTATAAATCTAACATGGGACTGTAAGTAACAGCGAAGTATAAATCTAACGTGGGAATGGAAGTAACAGCCAAGTATAAATCTAACATGGGAATGTAAGTAACAGCGAAGTATAAATCTAACATGGGAATGGTATTATATTATGTATTTTTCCGTCCACTTATTCATATTTAATTGGTTTAATTATGCTTATTGTGACACATGAATAAATATATTGATTTTCTAGAAATAATTCTATTTAATATTTCTTATTCTTACCTGTAGTCTGAAAGGAACCCCTCTCTCTCCCCCGTGTTTTTTGGGCGTGAACTCGGTTGAGATGCAGTGAACCTTGACGAAGATCCCCGTCTCCCTGGTCGGATCCCAGGAGAAGGCGATAGTGCTGAGGTTAGAACTATCCTGCTTCACCTCTGCTATCCCGTAGCTGAGGGGGAGATCAACCTCGACTATCCTCTCATTAGGATGTGTCCTAGCCCACTCCTGGATCTGCTCATTTTCAATATACTGGAGCCGGCGCTCGTGGAAACATATTCTAATTGTGCTCCGCAACCATTTTTTCTTGTAATAGCAGGATAGATCACCCAACTTCTTTATTTTTAGTTCATAACTCTGACCTTGGTTGATATAGGTAAGAGACGGGTCACCCAACTTCGTGGCTATACTTGTAGGTGCCGTCAATATATATTGAAACCTGAAATGTAATATTAATATATAATTTTCCGATCTACTGTGATGACCCACCCCCAAATACGATACGTTAACAAACCTCAAATTCTCCAAATCTTTAAAGATTTTCTCAGGATTCCCTCGGAACCGGATTTGATTTTTTTTTTTACATTTTGAACTCAGGTTGACTCCCTCTTTAGCGTAGAATTAATGTAATCTCTGAGCACCACACATACAAGTCAGATTTAATATACAAGGTGTCCCACGAAACATGTCAGTTGCAAGTCAAGATAAAGGTAGTATCTTATCGATGAAATAATTTTCGGCATTCGTAAATTAATGTCGCAAATAATATAAAAGATCAAAGACCATATTCAAGTAGTCTTTCTATTGTCATGTTTCCTGGGACACCCTGTATTTGAATATTGTGTGTGGATAGTTTAAAATATAGATATTTTCTCTCTATTTATTGTATTTTTATTTTTAGAGATGATATTATTTCGGATTAAAGTGCTCTTTCTAAAAATGTAATGTATTAAAAAATATATTAATAATATTTTCTCCTCTTTTTTCAGAATCTAAATGAGGCAAACTAGAATCAAAAGTCCTTAGAGCTTCCAAAATGTAAAAAAGATTATCTTAAAAAATAAAATAAAATAAATAAATAAATATAACATGACAATTAAAACATCTTAAATATTATAATAAACATAGTTTTTGATAAGTGTAATCATGTTTTTTCTTGAAATTTCGAGAACAGAACTAGTTAAAGATATCCAACCTTGACTCCGGGTCGTCATCTTGGACTTGTATTGGGGCTAAATGTTCGAGTTTAGGAGGCATATATCCTAGATCTTCGGATCCTAGATCATCTATGTCTCCCTTGCCGTACATTAATACGCTCTTTGTAAACCCAGCACCAGCGTGTGAATAATGATGGATGGGACTGAAAATATAAACAGGAATTATTTAGAGCTTCGGGTTGTTCACAAGGTAAATCTACTAGCGCCAAGATCCGTGACGCAGCAACTTTTTAAACTATTTTCATAAAATGAGCCGACTTAATTTAACCTTTTTAAAGAAAATCTGCATTCGATTTTCGTGGGATTTTTATCCCGAGAAACACAGGGTTATTGCAAAAAGGAAAAGGAAAGCAAATGAAGACCTAAAAACTTAAGATGAATGATCGTTTCTTAAATCTCATCTTTTGAAGAAAACCCTTTATTCAAGACATTGGTCAGATGTCGGCGTTTTCCATAGAAAAGGAGTAAGGGAATAGTGAAAATTGATGAAAATTAAACATAAATTGGGTGAAGTGTAATCTCTGACAGAGATTTCAATTCAAAATACGATTATTAGTGCGCGCGATATTTTGTAGTGAAACATTACAAACCTGCAGTGTTCCGCTTTAGTATGAGACAACTCAAGATCTGCTGAGGAGGATTTGGAAGGTTTACGTTCCAGGATTTTAGCTTTCATACTATCCTGGGAGTTATCTCGGGATACACGTCCAGAGAAGGACTGGAGACCACATAGGTTCCCAGATACGCCATTATCCTAGATGATTTAGTTTTATAGTATTAGTCAGATATCTGAACATGAACTTATTTCAAGTCATTAACTTGAACTTTAAAGCTCGGACCCATGCTAATGTCAGTATTCAACAGACCCTTCGCCACCATTAGGCTTGATCAAGGATGAGAACTGTGAACAAGAATGAACGATGATGAGAAATGAGTCTAGTTAAAAAGTAGAGGATGATAAATGACTATGGATAAAGCTAGCTAAGAGGATGAGATGAGTATGATTGAAAAGAAGATGATGCGAAATTAGTATAATAAAAGAGAAGAGAATGAGAAATGAGTCGAGTAGAAGAGAAGAGGATGAGAAATAAGTCTGGTTAAAGAGAATAGGATATAAAATGAGTATATTCAAGGATGAGAACTGAGTACGGTTGTGTACGAGGATGAGAAATGAGTATGGTAGAAGAGGCGAGGGTGGAAATGAGTAAGGTTCAAGAGAAGAGAGTGAAAAAATAGTATGATAGAAGAGAAGAGGATGAGAAATGAGATTAGAAGAAGAGAGAGGATGAGAAATGAGTATGATTGAAGAGAAGAGGATGAGAAATGAGTATGATAGAAGAGAAGAGGATGAGAAATGAGATTATCAGAAGAGAGAGGATGAGGAATGAGTAAGGTTGAAGAGAAGAGGATATGAACTTAGATTAGAAGAAGAGAGGAGGATGGTTCAAGAGAAGCGGATAAGAAATGATTATAGTTCAAGAGAAGAGAATGAAAAATTAGTATGATAGAAGAGGGAGGATGAGAAATGAGTATGGTTTAAGAGAAGAGACTGAAAAAATTGTATGATAGAAGAGAAGAGGATGAGAAATGAGATAAGTAGAAGAGAGGATGAGAAATGAGTATGGTTGAAGAGAAGAGAATGAGAAATGAGTATGGTAAAAGAGAAGAGGATGAGAAATGAGTATGATAGAAAAGAAGAGGATGAATAATGAGTAAGGTTAACGGAGTAGATAATGAGAAGTGAGTATGGTAGAAGAGAAAAGGATGAGAAATAAGTATGATAGAAGAGAAGAGGATGAGAAATAAGTATGGTAGAAGAAAAGAGGATGAGAAATTTCTATGGTTCAAGAGAAGAGGATGAGAAATGAGTATGGTAAAGAGAAGAGGATGAGAAATGAGTATGGTAAAAGAGAAGAGGATGAAAAATGAGTATGGTAGAAAAGAAGAGGATGAGTAATGAGTAAGATTAACAGAGAAGAGTATTAGAAATGAGTATGGTAGAAGAGAAGACGATGAGAAATAAGTATGATAGAAGAGAAGTGGATGAGAAATAAGTATGGAGAAGAGAGGATGAGAAATGATTACGATAGAAAAGAAGAGGATGAGTAATGAGTAAAGTTAAAAATTGAATGAGAAGTGAGTACGGTTGAGGAATGAGGATGAAAAATGAGTATTTGACTAGGGATGAATTGGAATCCTGACCTCGTTATCTGGGTTTTGAGCATCATCGTTAGAAAGATCTAGAGCTCCATAGTTTGCGAAAATGTAATTCGATTCAGACTTAGACGATCTTCCTCCTTCCTGATACATTTACATCATTCTTCTCAGATCAAACTCGATTAATATGTTTTTCCGAAAATTTTCAAACTCTGAGATACCATTAATGTCTTAAATCTGAATCTGAATGGATTCAAAAACTTCATTGTAACACGTGGAATTCTGAGGGGGCCTGGGGGTGGGGTTTATGGATGATGTTTAAGCTGATAGTTCAAAAAGGAAAGCTCCCAAATTCAAAAGATTTCAGAAAATAAATAATTAAACATCAACGTCAGTAGAAATCTAGGATTCTGCCGATTTGATGGGGTTTTCTTTAATCATTGGACAGTTTTCCAATTATATGTTTTTGTTGTGGTTACCAAACTGGGGTTTCTGTTGTCGCAAGGTTCAAATTTTCCTGATTTTTCATCATTATTATATTTAAAATATACAATGTACAGTGTACACCCATGTATTTATCTATTTACAATTCTCATTCGTTTATAGTGGGCCAACCAATTAAAACAACCTACTCTGGTTAGGCAGGTCCAAACTACATAGTAAATTGTGATATAAAAAAAATATGAAATGATTTTTAGCTAAATTCGAAAGAAATTTTTTTGTGGATAANAACTTATATTTTCGTACAGTAAAAAGCAGGAAAGTACAGTATTATTATTAAGTCCATGTTAGGTTTAGCGGAGTAAAAAAGCAATTGGTGTCATTTCAGAAACTTACATTATTGCTCTAAATAGATATATGTTTGACAAAATATTTTTAGATTTTTAAACATTATTGGTATAAATGTGTAAAATGTGTACTACCTGTTTGAGATGGTTGGATAGTGCTATATTATTAATACTGAGCATAGCTTCAGACATGGAATAGTTGGTTGTATTTATATCTACCCCTAAACCTGAACAAATATAAATTATTATCATCCAATAATGCACAACATAACATTATTCAAAGAACAACGTACTATTTCATGTGAGTGGTAAATTGATTATAAGAGAAAATACGAAATTCAAAAAGCGTTTCAGACCTTACAACTTATTCACTTTATTAAACAATCTCAAGTTTGTCAGAATAAAAACAAATATAAAAAAACATTAAAAATGTAAACCATCTCTTGCACTCAGATGATCGTTTTATACCTGTAAAAGATTCGTCAAAATCTGCAGCTAGATTATCCGCGTCAATATCCTCAACGTTCAGTAGATTAGGATTCATTGGAGATAGAATATTGGATTTAGATGCAGATACTCCACTCTCCGAGTTACCAGACAACTCTCCTCCACTCACGTCTCCGTCCTCAAACCCTGTCCTACTACAGTGCGGAGTCTGTAGTCCCGTCGTTCTCTCCTCGTCATCAGATCCTTTAGAGACCGGTGTTCGATCCAGGCCAACGTATTTGTTTCCGACTGAAAGGGGTTCCCAAGCTTTACGTTTCCTACTCACCACCAATCCGCTTACTCCCGGTGATTGTGTTCTCTGGAATATAAATTAATGGAAATTGGGGGAAAACGAGTACCCAAGTTTTGGATTAAAAAACAATTTTTTTTTTCTATTCGCCCCCCCCCCCCTTTAAATTACTGTCGGGTAATTTCAGCAACCCTCAATTTAAAAACGTTACATGTCCAATTCGCAAAAGATTAACACGAAGAAAAATTCGTTGTTTTTCTGTTTTAAAGATACAAATTTCTAAAATTTAAAATCTGAGGCCGAATTTAAAGAATTTGAGCCGCGGCTTAAATTTGAGACGTGACTCAAATCCGTTTGGTTCCGCTTAAAATTGTTTTCAATGTTTCAAGATTTAAGCCGGCACTCGATTAGAACCGGTTTTTGGCGATTTGAGACGCGGCTCAAATTCTTTAAATTCGGACTCAGAATAACTATAATTTTTGATCATGCAAAAGAGTACTGTTGAGAATCGGAGCGTCACTTGAAATTACGTCACATCCTTTAAGTAGGTCAGAAGTAGAAAAAGTAAGTTATAACTAGATTTATCTAGAATAATCCTTCACCTGAGACAAATTACCATCTCCAGGTGTTCCATTAGTTCCTCCTGTTACATGCATTTGCAACCACACGTTGAGAAAATCCTGAATTATTAGACAATAATTTTTTTTTTTTTTTGAAAAAATTTCCCGCATGCTCTATCGAATTATGAATCGCAACAAATCATTTTAATGTTACATAAGACGTTTTTTAATGAATATTGTTTTCAAATAACTAACCAATACTTATAGGCAGAATGCCATTACTGACTTAATAGATCCATTTATAAATCCTTATTTAAATCTCTGATCAATCATGACAAGATTTTGATTTGGTCCTAGGGTGTCCCTAGTCTTATTGGTTGATTGGTTAAGAGGTGGATTAATTAAAGGTTCATTTTCCTCCTTTCAGGATCTCAATTCAGTCGAAAAAATTTAAACTTATAAAAACTTTATTTGAAGAAAAATTACGAACAATTTAATTACTTTTTATCTTCTAAATTATAAATTTTTGTTCAATAAAAACTAATAAAAATCCCTTATAATAACTGAAAATGGAAAAAGAAATGGTATCTAAATGTCTAAAGGAGTCTTGAAGCCAAGACAATTTTTAAAAACGTCTGTTGGATTTCTACAGTAGAGCCCAGTGAGAAACTGCCCAAACATTAGTCAAACGATAGAAAAAGAAAAAATTTTAGACCATTGTCATTATTATTATTACAGATATCCTTACTGGTAGACACCAACCCTTGGTAATGTGAACACCGTAATTTCAAGTGACCCCTAATGCAAGGACAGCTATACCCAATTTACAACTGTACCCTTGAAACCTTAATTTCATCTGAGTTACGGAAGGTGACGTCTTTTACCTAACTAAAATAGTGTTAATTCAGTTAATTTTTTTGTGTGTCTTATAAGCAAGAAATACGCTAGTGAAAATAAATAAGCAAAACATGGATATATAGTTTGTACATCATCAGACAAAGCTTTCAAGCGTACCGTTGTAAATCAGGCATTGCCATCGTTGCATTGAGGATCACTTAAATTACCGCGTACAGTCCCTTTAAGGGCAATATCATGGTTAGTTTCTTTCTCCGTTTATTATTTGATTTGGAACTGTCAGTATTCTTAGTTTGAAAGAACCAGAATAACCCGGATTTAATTGACAGTTCATCAAACGACTTTACATATATATCTCAGGTAATTTTAAACACACAAACAAGGCAGACCATATTTTAGAATTGACAGGACTAGGGATATTTTGTTATTATCGTTTCATTAATCATATTCGTAAAATTACATTGAAATCATATTTGTAAAATTAGATTGTAAAGTCGTCTGATTAATTGTAAATTAATTCCGGGTCTTTCTGATTATGACTTTAGGTCGAATACATGAAGCTGATGAAAAGATGAGAAAATTTGGGGCGAGTGTTTTCCTTCAATTACTCACCGGGTCACTAGCTGACTCATCCAGGTAGGTTCGGTAGACTGACCGATCTTTCTCAGGTTCAGAACCAAAACTGTTTCTTCTCTTTACAGTAGATATAGAATATTCTTTCCTGGAGCACAGTTTGGACATAGCAGTCAAACCTTAATTTAAAAACGTAAAAATCAACCTAGGGACACGGCTTACTATGGTTTCCCCGAATCCCTGCATCCGGCTCGTAAAAAATTATCTGTAGTGAAAAATATATACCAAGATTAATCTATAAACAGAGCGTCCCAAATCATATTGGATTATCTCCAAGCTTTAACGCCAAAATACACACATAATACCCAAAAAACCTCGTATTTTCTGCAAGCAGAATGATTTATTCTTTTAAAATTTTCTGATTAGTCCCGAAAATCGTAATTTAGAGCCATAACCGATCCAATATAATGTGGAACACCCAGTATAACATGAAGTAATAAGCCTCGTTAGCTTGGATGTCCATTGTCCGAGCATAACCAGGACCTACAGTCATCGTCGTAGATATCAATACAATGAAGACAACTTTAGCTTTCAATATTGGATTTCTACCAATATTTTTAAAACAGCATTGAATCACATAAACATGGAAACAAAAACAAACCATCAATTTAAGGATTTTCTTTGCTTACTGGTAAACTTGTAATTTGATAAATGCTTCTTAGAAATCAAAACTTAGATAGAAAATTCGGCTTGGTTTAAAAGTTCTAAGTTGGGTTGGTTGATTTTCCTAGCGTAAACTTATGATTCCAGGCAAAGCTGGGGGCCCAACCTAACGCAAAATAAAATTCTGTTCATGCCTTATCATGTAGAAAAATATAAACCGTAGAAAAATTTACAGAAAAGGGATGAAGCTCAAATCCAGCAGGCAGATACACTCTACGGGATTGAAAAGTACCTGAAGCAGAAAAACTGTACCAAGAAAAGTACCTGGAGCGATTAACTGAACCAAGATTGAGTGTGAAAGATACCTGGAGTTGATTAACTGAACAAAAATTGAGTAAGAAGATATCTGGAAAAAATTAACTGAACCAAAGTTGAGATTAAAAAGTACCTAGAGAAAATTAACTGAACCAAGGTTGAGTTTAGAAGTACATGGAGAAAATTAACTGAACCTAGATTGGAGGACAAACCTTGAGCACTTTTGACTGACCCAAGTCTTAGTTTGAACTGTAGCTGGAGCTATTAACTGAACCAAGATTGAGTCTGAAATGTATCTAGTAAGAAGGAGTAAAACTGAGACGAGATAACGACTGAAAGGTACCTGGAGTTGAAAATTGAACCCTTGATGTAAATCTTCTGGGATGAAAGTTTTAATGAACTGAACGGGTCTGAATACTAGACAAGTACCTGGAAAAGATAGATTGAAACTGACCGGGTCTGAAGATTAAACAAGTACCTGGAGAAGATAGATTGAAACTGACCGGGTCTGAAGACTAAACAAGTACCTAGAGAAGATAGATTGAAACTGAACGGGTCTGAAGACTAAACAAGTACCTGGAGAAGATGGATTGAAACTGACCGGGTCTGAAGACTAGACAAGTACCTGGAGAAGATGGATTGAAACTGACCGGGTCTGAAGACTAAACAAGTACCTGGAGAAGATAAGATTGAAACTGAACGAGTCTGAAGACTAGGCAAGTACCTGGAGAAGATGGATTGAAACTGGTAGAACGATGACCCAACAAAAAGATGCGGGATCACCAATCTAAAGTACATATTCTAAGTATATCAAAATATATCTTTTTTGGTATAAACATGTGAGTTTTAAAATGCTGAAACCAGCAACTTGAAAATATAGGACATTTAACAAAATTACAGACTGAAACCTGCAGTTCTTAAACCTTATCTTAGCAACTTATTGAGATAAGGAAGGGTTGATGAAAATAATAAGCACTACTTTTTGATAATTTTCATCATAAAGGTTCATTAATTTTCCCCACCTTAGCAATACGAAGTCATAACTGTGATTTTTACTAATATTTCTAATATCAGAAGGAAAAAAATTAGTATCCGAACCTGGGAGCCTAAGACTGGATGGTGAATCAGAAAACTCAACTCATTATTCTGGAACCAAATTAAACAATTGAGAATTGGGATGGTCTTAACAATTCAATAAACAGAAAAATTTATGGACTTTTAACAAATTTTAAAGATAAATTTGGCATTTAATTATCACATATTTATTAAACATTTTGTCCCAAATATTGAAAAATATTTTTTTGTACAAAAATTTAAGGAAAATCAGCATGAGAAAAAGGAAATAATAATTTGAGAACAAATTTTGTATCGCAGGGTTATCTAAGAGAATTAATATTAATACTTGATTTTTGGTAGCTGCACTAGAAATCATGTAATCTAAATATGTTATATAACAATTGATGCAAGTAACAAAAAGCATGTTTCTCAGGTCTTGAATGAGACATTTAGTAGAGAAAAATGTTAAGACATCTTATGTTTGCTTCAAGCAGACTAGGATTCACTTATTCACTCATATTCACCAGTATTAACCGTTTTATAAGATCAAATACATCTAAACAATGATAACAAGCACCAGTAGTATTTCACTTTCTAGTTTTCTCTCCACCGACGAGGGTATCGGATCGACGGTAGAAGAGAATATATGGAGCGGAGCCGGGTGTTGAAGTCACCACGTTCAGCTCACAACTTGGAACAACATTACCGTCGTCACAGTGGAGCCAGCAGGAGTATCCTGAACAAAAATATAAGAATAATAATAATATTATCGATTCAGGGTTTTACAATATTTTTCTTTTTTCACGAAAAACTGTTTTTCTTCCATATTTTCTTAAAATGACTTTATCCATTTCAGTATTTTAGTCAGGGGGCGGAAACGTCATGTGTGCGTGTCTATACCAAAAGAGTGTGTGTTAGTTTAAAGTACCAAAGGTGTGTACTGTAGGTCTATAGAGTACATACGAATCTCGGTATTTGTACAGTCTAGGAGAGTACATATGTTTATTGTTAATTGTTAACTTAGAAATAAGTTTATTATACATGTAGTATATTATTTATATATTTAAGTCAACACTATAAGCCAAATGTTCATGCAAAGAATATAACTTGATTATAGTTTACAACAAATATAGTCGTTATTCAAGTTTAATTATAATTGACAACATTGTTCTGCAATTTCCTTGACTGTAATCATGTTGTGTGTCTGTACCAAAAGAGTGTGTGTTAGTTTAAAGTACTGGTCTGCAAAGCAGTGCGACTGGCTTTCTCATGCTAGACCAGCGCCATTTCCTTTCCCTTTATTCCTATTCCCTTATTTTAGTATTTTTGTTCTTTGTAATCTTGTTTGTAGATAAATATCATGTGTTTGTTAATTTGCAGTTAATTATATTAAGTTAATTTGTTTATTCGTATTAATTCTAGGCGTTCATCTTCTATTTAATCTTATAATTGTTGCTCAATCTATCAGGATTTTCTCTTCGATAAAACAACAACAAAAAATGTTGCGGATTTACAATTTTTTCGAAGATTTTCAAAATTTTATAAAACTCAAAAAGTTTTGGAGACAAATTTTTGTAATTCTGATTATCTATAAACCTTCACGTAAGATCCCACACATAAATTGGGCCCGATCGGTTCAGTCGTTTTGACGTTTTAGGATACAAACAGACAGACAAACAGACAACTATATATAAAGATGTATTGTATACCTGTATGATAGACATCGGTAAGATAATGTCCTTTAGTAGCCTCGAGACCGTTATGATAAACAACAGCGAACAACTTGTACTGCTTCTGTCGAGATCCAAATTTTGTCCTCGTGTTCGGAGACATAATATCTCGGCTTATCTCGAGGTCAACAGGGAAGGATATTTCTTTCATAACCTTCTGACATCCTCCAGTAGAACCATCGTAAACCATCCTCTTGAGATGGAGGATAAGAATCGGAGGCAGATCCTCCAAGCTCATGGTTCGAGACGCTTCTGTCACTTTCCCAGATTTAGGACAAACGTATCCGTCTATTTTCTCCGATGCGAAGTTGAGACAAAGTGCGTCCTGAACACTGTTCACACCAGGGTTCTGAATATCTAGCTGGAGGGTGAAGAACGGCTGGAGATTGAAGGATGAGTCTCCGCTCTTTATTCTAACAATGCTTCGGATCAAACCTGAAAAAATACATTACCTTCATAACAAAAAAACCTAATATTCAGTCCTTAGGATCCATTTCATTTTGATCCGGATCCGGATCCAGGTCATGAACATTTCTTAACAATTTACTGATTTTTGAACAATTGAAGAATTTTCAAATTATTTTTCTTTTTTTTCGCATATTTTTCATAACAGTTCAGATTTGGGGTTTGAGACAAAAAATTTCTTCTTCTAAAGTTTTTGTTGATATTTTGCCCATTCAACGGATCCGGATCATAAGAACTGATTTACATAATGCCTTCTACACACTACATACACTGTAGTGTAGTATGAATATATTGTATACGGATAAGTCAGGTTATCCTGTAATATATGTATTGTATGTATATTGTATTTACATAAATACAAAATGTATTCAACGAACACTGAAAATTAAAAAACAAAAGCAGCAGAGATCATACTTTAATAAAGAAAAATGAACGGTTTGCGTCGAGTTATCTTAAATAACAGGATGTCCAGAAAATAGGAAATAAAATGACGACCTTTTTATCGTCTATAATCCACGTCGGATTTATTCGATGGAAAAATAATGGTAATATTTTAGTTAAAAACAATTACCAACGAAAACTCAAAATAGTTTAAATATCTTTTATCTCTGTAAAGGAATTGAGTCTTTGATTTTGTAATGCTTTTATCTTTGAGACCCAAGACCTTAGATATTTCAAACTATGAATTCTGTTAGAATAATAATAATAATAATAATCTTTATTTGCATAAAAAGTGTGCTACCGTTTCTTTCAGGTTAATGTAAATCTTGTTTTGAGCATTATTTAGTTTGTTTGTGTTTCTTGTATAAAGTGTGCCGACCTTTTATAAAAAACAATGAAATCCGTGTTCCTTGTACAGTTTTCTTGCTGGGAATTAGGGACACAATGAGTTTAACTAGTTCACTCCACGCCACGAGGACATTAACCAATTCTCAATAATAAATCGGTTTGAAAAAAAGGACAGAACGAGCTTAACTAATTCCTTCCAATCATAAATTCCCATCTTTGATAACTGTAAATTCTCAAAATATGACTAGGTTTTATGTGAACCTTCAAATATTAAATGCACCAATTAAGGTTTCATCAATATTTTAAAACCTATATCAGAGAAACAGTCGCGGAAATAAAAGCAAATATAGGCAAATTTTTTCACGCAATTATGAACTTTCAAAATAATGGTCGCATCCAATTTTTAGATGATAAATTAGATTTTACTCAATGTGCAAAGAATCGTTAATTAAATTTATTAATGAGTTTCACTTAATTTAAATAGATGTAACAGCGAACCTGAAGCCATATTTTGAATTGGTGTTACCACAGGTTCCTTTATCTCCTCTAGTCCTTCAACCTGATGCAGAATAAATAATTAGTTTGATATAAAAAGATGAAAAACGATTATCACGAATTCATTAAGTGTAAACCTTTCAATGGGAATAATTCTGAAAACCTTTTTAGAGATATTTTTCGATTTTAGAAATTATTTTATAACCCCCCCCCCCCTTATCTCTTTACTCCTCACACGGTCCTCATCCCCAACCCCTCCTAACCACAGTACTAATTTTTACTCTAACGAAGAGAAAATAAGAATTCAATAATCTCTTGAAAACACGCCAGGGATAATGATGTAATCCTCTAGATATTGAGGTTGAATAACATGAAAACAGGCGCGAATACTTTCATGTGTAGATTATATTCAAAATTTATTCGATGAACTTATATTTTCGTACAGTAAAAAGCAGGACAGTACAGTACAATACAGTACAGTATAGTACAACACAGAACATTACAGTACAATACAGAACAATACAAAACAGTACAGTACAGAACAGTACAGTACAGAACAGCACAAAACAGTACAGTACAGAACAGTACCATTCAGAACAATATAGTACAGTACAGTACACGAATGTGCAATACATTACAGTTCAGTAAGGTACAATACAAAACAGTACGGTTAAGTACTTCACAGTACAGTTTAGTCCGGTACAGCCTAAGAAACTACAGTTTAATTACAATTTAGTAAATAAGTTACTGACCTGAATATTCTCAGTCAATTGAGAATGTGTGAAATTGATCAAGGTTCTCATCTCCTCCTCCAGCATGTTCAGTAGACAGCTCAAGAACTCCTCCGCATCCTCCTGCCTTCCTTCTTTCACCTTGAAGGATTCTGACTCCAGTAGAACCTTGTACACGGAGCTGGGCTCAAAAGGGTTCCCAACAGGAAGATCTTCTCTGCTCCGGGATTTATCTCTCTTTTGGTTCCTGAAGTCCTCCTGTAAAGGACCAAACTCTCGGACAACCTCAACCAATGAGTCCAGCATGGGCGTGATGGATTTTAACAGGACGGGAGCGGATCCAAGTAGTTTTTGTACTTCCTTGATGAGGTTAAAGAAGGGAGGACAAGCTATTAAAGCTTGTAATATTGCGTTGACAAAACACCAGTTGGATCGGTTTATCAACCCCCTGGGTAGGATAGAGGGAGCAACATGGTTTAGTTGATATTGGTTCAAGTATTCTCCTAGAGCTCGCTGCTCTTGGGTTACCTGATGAGCCCCGGGGTTTCCGGCCCGTATCTCTTGTTTAGTGGAGAAAGGTTGGATTCTAGCCATAGGTTTATCTGAAGGAATACGCTCCGAGCTGGGATCACTACCGGAAAACAGAGAGGACCAGAGCTTGGAAGAACCCTGAGATTCGTTTTGAGAACTGTTTCTGGAAGCAGTTGATCCCTGAGAGACTCTAGGGAAGGGAGGAGGTGTGGGTTGATGAACCAGACTCAACAAATATTCGTCTCTTTTGGGCAAACCTTGAACCTGATCCTGACCCTTTTCAAGCAGATGTTCATCCTTAAGTTTCGTGTTTTCCTTGGTTTCAATCTCCCGACATATGATTTCAACCTCTGTATCATGGTTCGAGATTCTGGAGCACATCTCATCTTTAACCGCCGGAACATCACAACCAATAGTTTCTCCGGCTCTCTCCGGGACTCTTTCGTTGGGAACTCCATTAACAGGATGGATTTTCTCCTCTTGCTCCTCATCGGAGCTTGATTGCCGAATTGATACCACCGGGATAGATCCAAACCTTGAATTTCCTGGTTCTGGTTTCCTAGGTACATGTGGCTGCGGTTGGTTCTGTGGATACAGGAACGGAGGATAAAGCAGGAACGAATGACTAGGAGGAAGAGGGAACACGGGGAGGGTTGATACCGGAGGGAACGGAGCCACGTAGTTCATCTGGTAGTTAGCAAACGGAACCGGATCCCCCGGAACGGGTCCAGATCCCAGAGAATCAGGACGAGATCCAAGATTGGAATGAGTTGAGCCTACATCACCATGTGTCAAATCAATATTAAATCATGCTATTGATTTTATGCACTTGACTCTATTTATCAGATAAAAGAAAATAATTAAAATAACAATAAGAAGTCGGGGGAAAAGTACGATAAGAATTTTCCAACGCATGTGTTAACTAACACAAAGGTCTGTAACAAATAGTATAAGCTTAGAAAGGGTGAACGAACTTAAAAGCTAGAAAAAATAATAACTAAATGCAATAATATGTTTTTTACTTAAATCAGAGCATAAATTATAAAATTTACAGGAAAAAGTTACTCTTTAACAGAAAAAACAGGTTCCATATTTAAAATTAAATACCCATAGTGAAACTATTTTAATGATACATATTTTTCACTAAAAAGTGTGTGTATTGTGTACACTGTAAACAACTTCAATGAAAAGATTACATATCAAAAAGCCCTCGAGTGGGATAGGAAATTAATTCAGTTTTTATTTCACTTTTTAGAGAAAAATTTGAATAATAACTTTTTCGAAGGAATATTGCGAGGGTTGCCTGCTGAAATAATTGTCTAAAAGATGATTTACAGAATTGTAACAAGGGTAAAAATTGTTTTTAAATTAGTCTCATCGCCCTCTGGCAACTTTTTATGCTCGCCCTGGGCAAATTTCCCGCACATTTCGTAGTTGTTGCAGAAATATATATTTTCAAACAGCGATTAAGAATGAACTAAAAGCATCGAAACATGAATTAAGTATAAATTCCTAATTGGAAATTTATTGTTCTAGTTCGGAAATTCAATGAATCTACACTTGTCAACTTAACAGGAGTTTCAGGGGCGTATTCAGGAATTCGTCCTGAAGGGGCTCAACATTTTTTCTTGTTAGGGGGCTCAGCACCCGTTTGGGTCCAAATACTCCCTAAAAGCAAAGATTTTACGAATCCATGGGGGCTGAGTCCCATAGCCCCCCCCCCTGAATACGCCCATGAGGAGATAACCTAAGCAGATAGGATATAACAAATCGTTGAAATTTTTTTTATTTTATCAAATGAAGACAAATTGAAAATAAGGAAAAATTAAATATTAATATCCTTAAGACAAAAAAGAGTTAGATCCTCTTTCCTAAAAGCCCTTGTAGATGACCGAAAAAAGAAATGGTAGATAAATGAATATCCTCAACAGTTTGATTTGACAAATTCCTGGTGCATGGTAGGTGAGGTTAGCAGTATAGTTGTTGATGTGAATATGTTGTTGTTGTTGTTGCACTACTCCTCCGCCTACAACTGGATTGGATCCAAGACCCTGACTAAAATCATCCGAACCTGTGAGTGCAGACCCCGGAAGGGACGGATTAAATTTTCCCGCATTTATGCTATTAAACACCTCGGACGCACAACCAAACTCAATCTCCACTGACTCCTCGCGACTCGTGGAGATTTCAACGGGCCTCGAGTCAGCAGGTTCGACTCTAGGTGAGTCTTCATACCTGGAGATAGAGATTAGAACATGTCTATCCGACTCCGACAGGGAACCGTACTCTTCATTGTCGTCGAGGTTGAGAAACTCGAGCTTGCAGATTCTATCATTCTCCATAGTGTTTTGGAACCCTCATTATTTAAATCATGGTTCTATCATCATTTATCTGAAACAAAACGAAAATTTCTTAATCATTTTTTAAAATGAGGAATGACATTGAATAAAAACCTAGAATTAAACAAAATTAGTTTTCAAGGATCCAGAATATCTAATTTAAGATTTTCTTATTTATTTTGTTCACTTCCAAAGTCGTATGATTTGGAAAATTTGTTTTCTTGATTTACAATATCTGGATCAAGACAATTTTAACTAAAACACTAGATTTCTACTCTGAGAGAAAATCTTTCTTGTTTTTATTTTTTCTATTTTGTCACTTAGATCTCTACATTTTGGATCAGGGCCCAAATAACTAAAATGTTTCGGATCCGTGGTTTTTGGACTGCCTGTATAAACAAGATAGAGTGGGACTGAATGATATTAATATATTTATTACTTGGTTCCGAATTCCCTAATATCTCTTCAAATCCTGTTTGTAATTACACTAGGTATCTGTGCCCAAGAATCAAGACTCAAACTTATCATTTGAGACACAAGAGAGCCCGGCCCTCGACAATCTTGACAATCTGAATCCTGTTTCCCCCCAACCCCCCCCTCGACCGGCACCCTCTCGAAAACTTAACTTCTGGTTACGATTAATGATTATACCCCAAGTTCTTCTACCCCATGACTAAACACTTTCCTCAAACAAATTTATTTTACAGGGTTACCCAAAGAATGAGACTTTCGGAGACAAATGTACGGAATAGGATATTAAAAGACTATATTTAAGGCAGAAGACTTAATTCAACCTTGGGAACATAGTATTTTAAGAGTTTTAAGTCGTTTTTACAGTCTTATCCTTTGTGGGTAACCCTGTTTATAATAAAGCTCTTCGCTTGTATACATTTGTTTGTTATTGCTGGCCAAACGCCTGGATCAAATTGGCTGAAACTTTTTTAGGGAACCCTGGGGGTCGCAGGGCCTAAAAACCTGGGGGTCGCAGGGCCTAAAAACCTGGGGGTCGCAGGGCCTAAAAACCCTGGGGGTCGCAGGGCCTAAAAAATTCTAATTATGAAATGAGTATCTTAAGACATCAATAGATCAATTTCATTACTTTCAGAGCAAAAGCCGATTTTGATTTAAACGTAATAATTTAATTTTGTTACAAAAGTTATTTTTTTTTCTAAAAAATAAATTCCAAACCGAGTCTTTAGCTGACGTGAGATTAACCCTAATACTACTAATAATATTGTATTTTTACAAAGGAATCGTTTACCAAAAAGAAAAGAAAGAGAAATGTAGATATAAATAAGGATTAAAAGAAAGGTGAAAGGAATAAAATTAGACAAATGGAAAAAAAATAAATGAAATAATTGTGAAAAGAAAGTTGAGAAAGAAATATGACTAAAAAAGAGGAAAAGAGGAAAAGAGGAAAAGAGGAAAAGAAAGGAGGATGAATTAAAAGTAAACAGGAATGCAATAGATTGTTAAAAGAAAGGCGAACAAATAAAAAAGAAAAAGCATGAATTGTTGGTTGAATGGAAAAAAATAAATTAGGATGAAAAGAAATATGCACGAGTTGAAAGAAGAAAATGGGTTTAAAATGTTTTAAAAAATTCAGAAAATGATTTGCATCATGAAACATAAAAATAAGAAGTATAACTTGACATGAAGATTGCCAAATGACCACTTAAAAATATCTAGTTTTAAACATTATTTCTTTGAAACTGGAAACTGGTAAAAATTTTAGGAAATAATTATAATGAGTCCGAATTTAATAAATTTGAGCCGCGTCTCAAATCCCCTAAAAACCGGTTTCAATCGAGCGCCGACTTAAATACGGAAACATTGAATACGATTTGAAGTGGAACCAATCATATTTGAGCCGCAACTTAAATTTAAGCCGCGGCTCAAATTCTTAAATTCGGCCTCTGGATTAAAAAACTCAACAAAAAAAGTTGAAAACGTGACTTTTCGGAAAAATATCGATTTCCCGCAATTCACATCATAATTTTATTGCTTTATGAATACTTTATTTCTTTTTTATCTTAAATCTTTCCAATTTACAATACAAGAATAATTATGTTATATAACAGATTGCATAAATTGTATAAAAAATTTGTTAAAATATTTTTGTCAATTCTTCAACTTTTAAACCTGCTAAAGTGGATAGTTTTAAAGTAAACTGCTTAGGATCCGGATCCCAAGGATCTGCAACATTATGGTTTCCTGGATCCGGGTCCCGTGTATCTGCAACATGTTTTCCTGGATCCGGATCCCATGGATCTGCAACATTATGGTTTCCTGGATCCGGATCCCATGGCTCTGCAACATTATGTTTTCCTGGATCCGGATCCCATGGATCTGCAACATTATGGTTTCCTGGATCCGGATCCCATGTATCTGCAACATTATGGTTTTCTGGATCCGGATCCCATGAATCTGCAACATTATGTTTTCCAGGATCCGGATCCCATGGATCTGCAACATTATGGTTTCCTGGATCCGGATCCCATGGATCTGCAACATTATGGTTTCCTGGATCCGGATCACATGGATCTGCAACATTATGTTTTCCTGGATCCAGATCCCATGGATCTGCAACATTATGGTTTCCTGAATCCGGATCCTAAAATATATGTGGATCCACGGATCCGGAATAGTAACTAAGGCCAGGGGAAAGGAAATGAATATTCAAGTTATAAGGAAAAATACTAAATAGTAATAGCAATGTTTACTGCTTTTTTGTGCTGTAAATTCTTCTGATAGAGGAATAGAAGAATATCGTAGTGTATGTAATACTGATTAAAAACTTGTATATACCATGTCACTGTTAGATTTTAATAAATAATTAGTCAAAGTAGGCAACATACACGACAATTTTAATTTTGTAATTCACAGCAAACCATTAAAAAATGATTTTAAATTAATAAGTTTGTAGGACGTGCATATGCTTTAAATTCCTGCCAAGAGGTTGTCTTGGTTTACAGTATGTGGTTTTTGGTTCCTATTTAAAGGTTTAACACTAGTAGCTCTTTCTTCCAGAGCTTAATAACTTGTACTGTGTCTGTGGACAAGTAAAGCTACTAGCGAGTTCAATTGAGGTATCTCTATTCTCATTGGTGGGAACTGCTTGACAACTGATTCCTATTGGTGAAACGGTTTTACCCTACTGCGCAAGGCACCTAAATATATCTATACTAGTTACTTCGAAACTGGAAATTCTAGAGAGCTCAGAGCAGAACTCTTAGAAAGAATTTGCATTCAAAGAGAACATTCTGATATTCTGATGCGCAGAGCTCGCGACGGACTTTTCAAAAAAAAACTCTAATTCCGATTATTCGTCTGTTTTTTTCACTCTTTTCAATTGACGCAGTTCCCTCTTAGACATTTAATGATCGTAAGCCATATTTCACTATAAAATCTAATAACGAATACCCCTATCTTATAATTTATAATGGTCATGGAATCATGCTATATATAACCTTTCTCCGACTTTATATGTTCAGTACTTTAAGGACCCGTTTGATGAGTAGGATATGGGATAAGGAGAATGAAGGATCTCCTTTAGCGATAATGGAGACAAGGGTCGGGTGAGTAGGAAGTATGGGATAAGGGGGGAGTAGGAACAGTTGGATAAAGAGGGATAATATGAGGAATGGGGGATAGGGAGGAATAATAGGAATAATGGGATAAGGAGGGATATAGTAGGAATAATGGGATAAGGAGGGATATAGTAGGAATAATGGGATAAGGAGGGATAGCAGGTCGAGGATGAGTAGAATGAATGGGATAGGTCAAGGATGAGTAGAATGGTTGGGAAAACGACTAGGATGGGTAGAATGTATGGGATAGTTCGAGGATGAGTAGAATGGATGGGATAGGTCGAGGATGATTAGAATGGATGGGAAAAGACTAGGATGAGTAGAATGGATGGGATAGGTCGAGGATGAGTAGAATGGTTGGGAAAACGACTAGGATGGGTAGAATGTATGGGATAGTTCGAGGATGAGTAGAATGGATGGGATAGGTCGAGGATGAGTAGAATGGATGGGATAGGTCGAGGATGAGTAGAATGGATTGGATGGGATAGGTCGAGGATGAGTAGAATGGATGGGATGGGATAGGTCGAGGATGAGTAGAATGGATGGGATAGGTCGAGGATGATTAGAATGGATGGGATAGGTCGAGGATGAGTAGAATGGATGGGATAGGTCGAGGATGAGTAAAATGGATGGGATAGGTCGAGGATGAGTAGAATGGATGGGATAGGTCGAGGATGAGTATAATGGATGGGATAGGTCGAGGATGAGTATAATGGACGTGATAAGGAAATGCTCTGCCTTTAATATGTAATTCTAATAACAACCACATTACCATAAAGATATTGATTCTTCGCCTCAAACTCCAATTTTCTAATCCCTATATCTTTTCAACCTAATGGTGTAAACCTATGATATTGCAAACTTAGATCAATTGATTCAACAGAGTTCAAAGTTTAAAATATCTATAAAATCTACAACATTGGGTTGTAAAGATAAAGGGATTAGAAAATCAGAATTTGCGACAAGACCCAGTTCCTTTTCTCTCAAAAAGTTATATTTTAGCCAAACTCTATATCATAATTATATATTATATCTGAATCTCTCTAATAACTCATGAATTAATAAGATCTTCCATTTTTTAAATTTTTCTTTTCTATGAAATTAAAAAAAAATTTACCAAAATTAAAATGAGACTGTATATAGGACCTAAGATTATTGAAGAATATCGTTTCACAATCACAACTAATTCATGTTTAAAATTTTATACGCTTTACAGTAAAGGTTCTGTAAGTTCCATATTCGTGAGTCGGCATAATACATATTTCTAAACGAAAGTCACATTGAAAAATGTAGACTGTATTGAATTGTATTATTTAAGTTAAGGGAGTGTTCGCGAAAAATGAAAGGGGGTATAGGCTAAATGCGATAAAAAAGCGCTTTTAATCGCATTAAGCCTATACCCCCTTTCATTTTTCGCGAACACTCCCTTTAGTAAGGAAAAAATTTAGACTTTTTAGAGAAAATTAACGTTTAAATAGAT